CGGCTGAAGGGCGCGTCCAGCGGGGGCGACTCGGGGGTGCCGGGCCTGTCCTCCGGCCACGGAGCTTCCCTCTCCGTGTCACTGAAGAGTTGGAAGGTGCTCTGGCTGCGGAGCAGTCGGGCATCGGGCCTAGGGGGCTCACCGCCTCGGGCAGGGGGGCCACGGCCATCCCCAGCCCTCCTCAGCGGCTGACCGCAAGGCTGCCAGGAAGCCTCCTCGAACCTGGACTCCCCGTTTTTCAAGGGCGGCTCCCCATTGCCCAATGGCTCCGTGGCCTCCGAGAAATGGATGCTGGCTTTGGGGTCCTCAAAGTCACCGGCGGAAGTGCTGGAAGCTGGTCCGGCCCTGTGGGGCCTATAGTTGAGGCCGTAGGTGGGGCTGCCCACGCTCGGGAGTCTGTGGCGCCCTTGCTCCCTCTCTTCTATCTTGGACACCTTCTCCAGCACCGAACAGTGGGGCTTCCTGTACTGGAGGGCCGAGGCGCTGCTGGAGCTCAGTCTCCTCTGGCTCAGGCCGGGTGTCTGTTGGAGTGCTGGGGCCGGGGGCTCTTCATACCTTGGGTCTGCACCCTGGAAAGAGTCTGCAGTGTTCATTTTCCCCTCCGGCCTAGAATAGGAAACAGGCCTGTCCTGGTAGCTCCTGCTGTCGGGCCCGGCCTTCCTTCCAGGCTCTTCCACACTGGAGGTGAGGGCACAGGTGGGCCTGCCACCAGAGTGACCCTCCTGGGCTTCTCCTCCGAGCTCTACATTGCTCTGTCTCCTTAGGCTCTCTGGAATGTTCTGGAGAGATGAGAAGGCCGACTTGGTCTTGCCAAAGTTGCCTGGCTGGCTCTGCCCTTGACCTTCTTTCTCCAGTTTCTGCCTGAGGTTGGCATTGTGATCTTCCTGTAAGTCACCCTCCCAGGTCTGAGGGGGCCTGCCCACGTGCAAGGCCAGGGCCTGGGGAGATGAGAGGCCGTGGTGATTAGAACACGGCCTGCTGCCAGGGGCGTTCTTTCTCTCGCTGGGATACGATGGGCTGGTGTCTTGGAGAGGTGTGCCCTGTTTCTTCAGTGAGGAATCTTCATTTTCAGGCACTGAAGAAAAATGGACTTTGTAGGAGACATGTTTGGCTGTGGGTTCTGGATTTCTCTCCACTGGGGTTACCAAGTCATGTTCTAGGGGCTGGCAGAAGGCAAACCCGGGCCTGCTAGCTTCATTTTGGTTCCCGTTCTCGTCCAAGGTAGCCATTTTGTTACAGGGTCCCTGAGCGCCCGTATATCCACTCTCTTTGACCAGGGCAGGGTAGACAGTACCATTACTACTCACGGAAGGCTGAGGCACCTGGGCAAAGTGTGGCTCTGGAGAAGGTACCGGGTAGATGCCAGTGGGCAGGAGGGGTTGGCCAGGCTGCGCCTTCTGCGTGTAACTATGCTTGGGCTTCACTGGGGGGCTGCTCTCTGGACTCCCCTCTACGACTGTGTGCAGCTGTTCCTCCATGAGCGGGGTTTTCACGGAGCCTGCGGAGTTGGTCTGAGGCCGGCAGAACCTCTTCTGATCGAGGCTGGACCAGGAGCTGGGACGCTCGCGCTGCCGGAAGGCTGCATAACTGTCGCTCCGAGTAGGGGGCATGGGTGCACCCACTTTCTGGGCCAGGCTGTCAGTGGCAGTATCCGAGTACTGCTGGCTCCACGATGGGGATGGGGCCCCCTTGCCCCGGGGAACACTATGCCATTTAGCACAGCCCTGGAGACCTGCTGATGCGTGGGCATTCCTACCTTGAAGAAGCAGAGCTGAAGGGCTCACCTCATACTCTGACGATACTCCCCTCCGGCTATCGTAGACTGTCTTGACATAGCGAATGTCTGCTTGCCTCATCCCTTCTAGGAGGCCGCCCCGAGCAGAAATCGTATCCATGGAGCCTGACCGTTCTTGGCCAGAGCCACCAGGGGGTGGGTACTCGAGGATGCTAGAACTTGTGGAGAAGGAGCTATACGCCGAGTCTCTTTTGTTATGGAGGTGGCCGAGCTGGTCGATGCTGCTCGTAGACTTGGCAGGAGAAAGAAGATGGCAGGCTGGGTATCCGCCACTAGGCTCCAGGCTTTCCATACTTCCCTGGGAGCTGCACCGGTCAGGGCTCCGCCTCAGATAAGCATGGTCGTAGTTGGAAAGGTCACTTGTAGAAGAGCTGGGAGAACGGGAGACAAAGCAGTCAGTCGGCTGAGGAGCTCAGTGGAGTTTAAGACTCGGGGCTCAGCTTATGAATTCACTCTTATGCAAGACGTTCCGTTTTCGGAAGGGTGGGTCAAAAGGGCCTTATTTGGGGCTTGTTCCGATCCCTGTGTCGTCACCAGGATTAACTGCCCAATGCTGCAGCCTTATGAGCCTCTAATTAATCACTCTGGCTTACTAGAAGAAGGGGTGGTCTTAGGCACGGGCAGCATGCAGATGGGACTCGCTGCACTCTAGGTGACATTTTGCACGTGCCCAGGAGTGAAGGAGGTGAGCGGGAGGGACTGAAGGGAAGGAAGAAGGACAGGAGAGCATTGACTGTCTATTGTAGACACTTGGGGGAAATTGAGCAAAGCTTAGGAGGCAGACAGGCGTGTGAAGGGCCGGGGACTTGGGAAGCACAGCGTAGGATTTCAGTTCATCTTTCCTTTTTAAGGAGTCGAGAGCTAGGCCCTGGCAACCTTCCTGAGTCTCAACATTGGTAGGGACAATTTGTTTGCAGGGAAAAGCTAAACACCAAGCTGAAAGAAGAAATACACGGGGAGACATTCGAGTCACAAAAGGCCAATGAGAGAGGAGAGGGCAGGGGAGAAAGGGAAGCTGGGAAGGAAGTCCAAACCACTGGTAGTCCGTTAAGCTGAGCTTCCAACCCCAAAGCCAGCCTCAGTGTGCATGCAGGGGAGCAAGACTTTTCTATTTCTAAGCTCCTGGGTGTTGGGGAGAGGGACAGGGTCTCAATATTGGACCTTCATACCCCAGAAAGCTGCCTCCAAAAAAATTGTTTTTGTTAGATAATCAGACAGACTAACATGCATGTGTGGGAACTGGGGAGTTTGTAGCTTCCATTCAATTTTGCTAAAAGCTTAAAACTGCTCTAATAATTGACTGCAAGGGACTGGAAAGATGGCTCAATATTTAACAGCACTGGTTGTATTCGATTCTCAGAACGCACATGGTGGCCCACACCTGTCTCTAATTCCAATCCCAAGAGGCCTAGCATGGACACAACACCTACACACATCAAATACAAATTTGCTAGGAAATCTATTTGAGCTGGGAGTATAGCTTGGTGGCAGAGCTCTTGCCTAGCATATGCGAATAACCAAAAATAAATAAATAAAAAGAAATTATATACCTATAGAGAAGCCATATTAGAATAAACAAAAATCAAATAGCAGTCACCTTATATTAACCGTTGTGATTCACTATTCTCTAAAGAAAGGTAAATCAGGAGCACTGACCTAGGCGTTTCATTTTTAGATAAGCAGACACTCGAGAGCATTTACAATATATATTATTTCTAGATCTCATGTAAGCAAATGCAATGGCTCCGTACCAAGTGCATGCCAATGTTTTAAGCTGCAATGTCTCCAGAGAATGTATGAAGGACAATGTTCAGAGCTAAAACTAGAGAGAAACCAACGAAACATTCTGTTGTCAGCAAGACCACATGCTCAGCATTTTCTCTCAACAGAATCTAATTTTTCTCCTCAGGAAAAGTCAACTTACTAAACGAAGTATCCTGCTTTGGGAAAGCCAGAATAAATTTAAGAGAGAAAGAAGAAAGGTGAGCCTTCCAGGTCAGGAAAAATCGACCTGCACTCAATGGCACGGCGTATGTCATGGCTGAATTTTACTGAGCTCTGCCTTCCACATTACCAGCTTCCATCTAAAGCGAGGAAGCTTGTGAAATCACAGGGGAGCCATTAAAGCAAGTCCCATCTGGCCGGCTGTCATCCTTTAACTTTCTGCAGACACAGTACAGAGGTGGCCCTTGCAAGGGATGTGGAGGCAGCTGGCCACGTGGGAGCTGCTTCACTCACCAGGCCCATGTATGGAGGAAACACTACCTAGACCTCTCCTGACTGCTAGAAGCTTTGCAACCAGCTTCTGAAAGGGTGGTTCAGCTCTAACTTGGGAACATACACATAAGCAACTGAGCCGACTGAAATGCCAGCTCGGGTGTGCCTCAAAACACAGGTGGTGTCTAGGAAGAGGAAGTCACGCCATCTCTCGCCAGACCAGGGCAAGTATCTAGGAGACCACTTCCTGTAGCCAACCTCAAGAGAACAGCACCACATGAGGACCCTGTAAGGGCTACTCTCCTACCCTGGGGGTGGGGGATGGGGTGCTTTGTCCCTCAGCGGTCGGCCATTGGTCCGTTCTCAGGCTGCTTGGGGATGGGGGTCCGATGCTGGCCTCTGGGAAGTCTTTCCACTATTACCTGGAGATACTGCTATTAGCTCTGCTCTTCCTGCTTCTCATCAATGGAGCTGGGATGAGTCATAACAGTCCTGTTGGTTTCAGTGCTAACATGGACAACCTTACTGTCAAGGACTGAACCTTCATCCAGTCAGAGTCCCACTGTGCGCTGGCTCCTTCTCCAGACTCACTGCCCACTGCTGTCCTTGCTCACTCACTACATCCCAGCCCCAGCCCCTCCTGGCAATGACTCTGCCGCACAACATAGCTACACCATCTTTGCCAGTGTTACAGAGGTTTTGTCTGGATATGCTACCACCTGGAGTGCCCTTCGCCTGGCTCGTTCCCTTTCCTTACTCAGGTCTCTATTTCAGAAACTTTCCCAAACTAATTATCTCCTTGGTTCTCCTCACATCGTATAATGCTGTTTCTATTTTCCTCATAGCACGTACTCGACCTGACATTCTAGCATAGCTTTGGTTATGTGAAAGCAATTCAGTTCTCTCCACAATGTCTGAAGAATGAAAACACAAACACATTTGCTATGGTGTGTTTTTCTACACTACTCTATTTTGTGTACGTAAAACTAATTTTTAGGGGCTTTAGAGATAGCTCAGCAGTTAAGAGCCCTTGTTGATATTGCAGAGGGTGGTTTCCAAACACCCACCTGGTGGCTCACACCCACCAAAACTCCAGTTCCCGAGGCTCCAAGGGCACCAGGCATGCATGTGGAACACATATATGCACACAGGCAAAACACTTGTACCCACAAAAATAGTCCTCAAAAAAAGTCATTTTTAAATGTTCTAAACATCATGAAAAGCACAAAACAAGAATATGAAAACTTTCCTGGTGTGTAGTCCTTAACTAAGAGCCTTAGTTCCTTAAAATGATCAGATCTGTTCGCAAAACACTGGGCTAAAGTTAAACAAGCTTGTTTACTCCAGACTGCTGGGTCTTCCATAAACTATTGTCTATCTGTTGTTCCAAAGGGGAAAGACACGAAGCAAAGTTTTCTAAACTTATTTGACTCCAGAAACTTTCTGCCAAGGAACAAGACTCTGGGGGAAACAGTTTTATACAGTGAAGCATTTGGGATCTTCTTCAGGGAGCGTGCTCATCACTAAGACCATCTGAGACACGGGGTGCTCACATTTGCCAACTGAATGGGTCTCAGTGAGTCCTGTACATTAGCGTTTTGATAATGCTACTTCAGCCTCTTCTCAGAGAGACTGTGTCCTGGCAGTCTCTTCTTTAGAACCACTTGGTGGTATTTCCACAAGACAGCAGAAAACAGCTAGGGGCAAACTTCAGAGCAATTCCAAATCCAAGTGAGCTTATCAGACAGTTACAACTGACTGCCCTCACTGACTGTCCCCCTGCTCCTCCCCATCCCCTCACTCTCCCTTTTCATGAGAAAAAGATCCTTGACTTTAGATGTGGAAGTGGGTTTGAATTTCCATCAAAGGAGAGCCAGCCAACCAACCTGGCACACTAGATCACCAGATGCCACAGATCCTAGGGACACACCAGCAGTCCTTCTCCAGCTGCAGCTGCTGCTGTAAGACTATGAGCAGACGGAGGGGCGTTCCGTGACAGAGCTGCAGAGGTGTGCCCGGACTGAGGAGAGGACCATAGACATGCAGCATTCTGGGTATTCTGAGCTTGCTTTTCTCCTATCGACAGACAGTGTTTGTCACCATCAAAGGACCAGGAGGCAGATACAGTACAAGGGAAGAGGGGCAGTGTAGCCACCACTCCTGAGGCCTGTGGAGCCGACCATAGTCACTGCACATTGACTACAATGGTCTGACTTCTGCTATAGGGTGAGTATACTCCTTAGGTTACATTATGACGTCAGATTTAGGGCTGGGAGGTTGTAAAGGTTTCTGCCATTCAGTGGCACTCATGTGTCCTGCTTTCTTCAGCAGGTTTCACTGGACCCCTGTCTTCAGCCTGGTTACTCTAACTGTCAAGCATGGGATGTTTTCTGCATACTAGGAGCTACATGTATTCCTTTATTTAATGTTCGCAATGACCCAGTAACATAGGTGTCATTGGTTTCATTTTAGAGAAAGAGAAGCCAAGATCATAGGGTGCTCACGCTCATGAGCAGGTGAGGTCATACCTAAAACCTGGAGCACTCTGCTCTTCCTCCCTCAAGCCGTCAGCTGCCCACACTTTACAAAACCCTGACACGTACAGCCCTGTAAATCAAGTGTCCTGTGTGGGGCGATGTACTGTGAGGGAACCCATTTTCCAGAACACATGGCTCAGATGGTGTAAACTGGTCCCCTTAAGAGAGTGGGAGGACACCAGGTCTGGTGGCACAAGCCTTTAATCCCAGCACTCAGGAGGCAGAGGCAGACGATCTCTGTGAGTTTGAAGCCAGCCTGGTCGACAGAGCGAGCTCCAGGCTAGAGGACAAGTATAACCTAGTAACTCCGTTCAAAAACCACAGGCCCTGCTCAGATCTGTCTCCACTCACACACCGATCAGCTGTCTAGACTCAGACAGACCAATTTGTCCATACTTTAACTTCTTCTTAACACTGCAAAATGGGGTAAACGTCTCTATTCTTCTTTATTTGGGGAGGGGGCGGTGGTTTCTTTGTGTAGCCCTGTCCAGGCTATTCTGGAACTTGCTCTGTAGACCAGGTTGGCCTCAAACTCACAGATATCTGCCTGCCTCTGCCTCCCAGGTGCTAGGATTAAAGACTTGTTCCACCACTGCCCACAGCTTCTATAGTTTTTAAAATAGTACTGCATGCAGAAGAGGGAAACAAAGGAACTTGGTGAAATCACATATCTCTGAGAAATTCTCCATCTTAGCTGTTTCTGCTGAGGGCCAAGGAAGATAAATGCTTTGACAGAGGAGAAAAACCAAATAGAACATTTAAATATAGGCATACCATCAATTCATCTGAAAAAATATAATTTTGAATAGTGCAGACAAGACAGTGAAGCACCCAGGAAAGAAATCTGTCAAATTTTCAAATATGGGATTATAATAGGTATTGAGAAATAGCTGACTGGGAAGAGGGTCCAGAAATATCTCAAATGACCAACTATAACCAAACTATTTCTAGCCTCCTCTCAACAATCCAGCTCAGGATATGAGAGGATGAGTCACCCACACAGTTAGCATTTTAAGAGGATGAGAAAAAAGGCACCGCGGGGGACATGACCTTGAAGGAGAGAAACCCTTGGATGCCAGCCATGGCCACTCACCTGGAATGGTAGCTTTGGTGCCAAGGAGGGCCCATCGTGCCCTGAGATATCTGCATCATGCTGGCATCAGGCTGGTTCTCTCCAAATTTGGTTGTATGCCACGAGTGAGGGCGAGCGGCAGTCTCACTGCACCTGTGGAGACACAGGAGGGGACCCTTGAGCAACAGTAGCTTCCCTCCAAGTCCCCTCAAGGTGGCTCAGGGGCCCAGAGACCACAGATACAAGCACTGCTTCCGTCTCCTCCAATCACTGTGTCCTGAGCTCAACAAATATTCCAATTTACTTCCTATTCTCATATCACTTCAGACCTCAGACGGATGTTGTAAAGTCAGTATAACTTTACTTAGACTTCCTACATGTTGGTATTGTATGCTTTCTGAACGTAAGGACATGGTTGCCTTGGTCTTTCTGGACCTCCAGATTTAAAGAAAAACAGGAACACCAAAATTTCTTCCTATTTCCCAAGGGACCTTGTGTAGATGCGTAGTGAAAGCTTGCTGGGGATTTTCAGTCCTCTGTCAGGGCCTGGGAGGATGGTGCTGCTGCTTGCGGTCTTGCTAAGGACTGTAGGGAAGCCAGAGGCTGCCCCGCGTTGACAATGAATGTTCCACACCACGGTCTAGAGAACAAAGTGTTCTCCAAAAGACTCTCGTTTTCTAAGTTGGTGACTTCAACTTTTAAGCATCCTGCCCTTAAAAACACAACGATCTGATGGAGCCGAAGAGAAAATGTGGGTGTCCTTTAGACTGAACGCGAGCTCAAGGAGGGGCTGGGAGTGCAGAAAGTCAGTCACGGGACAACTGCTGTGTCGCATTTTTGGCAGAAGAATGGGGTGATCCATCAGGCATCTCATGCTGAAAACCTCTGAACTATGCAGTTTCTGTAGTTTAGAAACAGTTTGGGATACAGGAACCCACTTGATAAGATAAAAATAATAGATGTAATTATCCCAACCCCTCATACTTTCCCTTGATCCCTAAAACCTAGCCATCTCTCATCTCTGAAAAATAAATTGCTTCTGTAACGTAAAGGAAAACCAAACTTGGTGATGCCAGTGAACTTCCATTTGTTAGGCAGACCAGAACACTGCTAGACCAGGAGCCTGGAGACTTCAGTCCTCAGCCAGATTTTGCTGTCAACCAATTGTGGAGTCACTTCCTGTCCCTAAGCTTCTGCACACCTAAAACCTGAAGAAACTGGTCAGAAGCTCAACTCATCTCATTTTAATCTGATTTTTGGGACGAAAATTATATAATATAGCTGATCCATAGTAAAATATCAAAAAATATTGAGTATTATTATGATATAACTCATTTGCTGTTAATGAATTGACAGAATAGAGGCCATGCAGACAGCTTGTTAGACAGACCTACCTAAAAGAAAGGGCAAAAACAGGGAGAAAGAAGTTGAAGGTGGATGATGGTGACTATGGGAATGGGTAGGAGGAAATACTGACGCGGCCGCTCTTCCAGCTCTAAGGTTCTTTATGAAATATTAAGAGTCAATAGTTACAAATAGGATGGCTCAGCTGGCAAACACTCTGCACAAGCCTGACCATCTGAGTTTGGTCCCTAGAGCTCACATGAAGGTGGAAAGAGAGAACCAACTCCACAGAGTTACCCTCTGACCTTTGACTGAGCTGTATGTGCCTCCTCCTGAGGTGCTCACACAAGTAACTATTTTTTAAAAATGTGAAAAGTGATTACACAGAGACTGGTCTCAAAGTTAACTGTGGTCAAAGCAAACAGGGTGTGGCCATGATGGCACTGACTGTGGCCTGAAAGCAGAAGGGTAAACAGAGGCCAAACAGCACAACAGCCTACCTGGAATCTACATAATAATGAGAGGAACTCTGTGGGGAATTAGGAATCAAGCCACCCTCAGAGGAGTTGAGTTGAGGCAGCAGCCTGTTTTCCGGGGAACTGGATGTCCTAAGTACAAGAAAGCCTAGGAACAAGAGTGCCAAGTGCTGAGGTGCTGGGCTAGCCTACAGCTCTCCAACTGGCCACTCCAAAGGAGCTGGCTCAGCTCTCGGGAGTGGGGAGCCTAAGTGTTCAAGAGACAGGCACTCGGAGGACAAGAGAGGCACAGGGCGACCGAGATATACTTGCTCTTTTCTTGGTCCCTTGTTGTTTTATCCTTCATCCCATTAGCCCAAGGGAAACTTGGGTTCTAATCTAGTTTCTAAACCAGATACTAGTTTTGGGTTTTGTTGTTGTTGTTTTGTTTTGTTTTTCAAGACAGGGTTTCTCTGTAGCTTTGGAGCTTATCCTGGAACTAGCTCTTGTAGACCAGGCTGGCCTCAAACTCACAGAGATCCACCTGCCTCTGACTTCTGGGTGCTGAGATTTAAGGCGGGCGCCGCCACCACCACCCGGTGATCTTTGGGTTGCTTTTTTTTAAAAAAATATTTATTTATTTGCTCATTATGTATACAGTATTCTTTCTTCAGTCCAGAAGAGGGCACCAGGCCTCATTACAGATGGTTGTGAGCCACCATGTGGTTGCTGGGAATTGAACTCAGGACCTTTGGAAGAGCAGGCAATGCTCTTAACCTCTGAGCCATCTCTCCAGCCCCTGAGCTTTGGGTTTTTTCAATACTCGTAAGTTTTAGGAAGATATTGCCAGTAGCAGAGTGAATAAATTTTACCAGCCGGGACAAGAGATGATGAGGGCCTGGGACTAAGATGGTGGTAACAAACTTGAAGGAGTGGTGTACATGCATATGTGTGTGTGTGTGTGTTTGTGTATGTGCGTGCTTGCATGTATGCATGAGTGTGTGTGTGAGGGAGAGAGAGAGATGTTTAGTGAAGAAAGAATAAAGAATGCCTAATCCTTGAGGTGAGAATAGGTTTGGAACATTCAAAACAAGTGTGTGGCCACACCACCAGACAGAGGAGTCAGTGGTGTGGGTTCAGATCACGGGTGAAGTTCTGAGGGCAGAAGCATCAGAAGTTTACTTGAATGGGATCTGGAGCCTAGACTCAGAGGTGGAGCGGGGTTGTTAGGTGTTGGATAAATGGAGGTGACAACTGCAGCTCAGAAAATGAGCACTGGGGGGCGTCTGCTGCTAGGAGTGGGCTGCAGGGCCTCCAGGCACACAGGCCGGCTGTCAGCAACACACAAATCACACAAACAAGACTCAGACTGCTAACATCACAGAATCAACACGACTGACCATCTTCTCAGCCCTCTGACTGACTGGTCTGTTTGTCTGTCCACTGTTTACTGTACACACTGTCTCAGGAGACAAAGTCTGCCGAAACAGTCCACACTCTCTCCAGAGAAGTAATTCACAACCGTGTTGAGCTGAGCTGTCTGTCAGACAAACAGTGCAGCCAGCCTTCAGGCTGAAGTCATCACGACACCCCTGCCGAACACCAGATGCTTAGCGGGGCAGAACGCCCATCGACCCTTAAGGTTTGTCCTGTGTGATCATTTTCCTCTTCTACTTTGTGCTGTTTTAGGATGAGTTTTACTATCTTGCCTAGCAGGCCCCAAACTTATTGGTTCAAATTATTTCCCCAGCCTCAGCCCAAGGTATATGCCACTATATCCAGCTATTTCTTCATCTATTTTAAAAATTGACACACATATAGAAATGTATTCACGTTAATACAAAGACTACCTTACTTATGTGTGGACTTATTGTTATAATTGTAATTATGCCGGCCTGCCCTGTCACCTGGGTACCCTGTCCCTTTAAGAGACAAGCTTTGCCCACTCCCAATCTCCCCCTCCAGACAAGCTGATCTCACCCCTCTTCCCTTTTTCTCCCTCTCTGTCCCAGAAAGAGACAGCTTCTGCCTCCCTCCTCTCCACCTCCTCTCTTTCTCTCTCCCCTCCCCATACCCTCCTTATACCTTTCCAATACCCACTAAATAAACTCTCTATACCCAGTCTCTCTCCGCATGGCATATCTATCTGTCCCTTACCCATGGTGTGGTCCCGCACACTAGCAGGGAGACCTGCCAGGAACACCGGCACCATAAACCGTAACATTTATAGCTAAACTTAACAAATAATTAGCATTTCCCCATATTCAAAGTATTCCTTTGAATAGACAATAATTCACATGATTAAGAAACAAATAAAAACCAATGTGCAGCCCTGTCCTCCAGACCCATTTCTCTCCCTTGGCGCCGACCACTGCAGCTGATTCCCTAGGTGTCCTTCCCCAGCATCCCATTACGCAAACACAGCCTACAGAAGGTGAGTGTTGGCCCTCTGCTACAGAGCTTGTCTAGGCTGCTCAGAGCCCAGGATTCCACTTCAAACACCACAACAACCAGAGAGATGGACTTGTGGGAAGAACAGCATTTGTAAGGTAATACAATCTCAGAGTAACATACAGTCCTTTCTGAAAAGGGACATTCTTTCTAAATGTCACAGTCACAATGTACCCTGGGGACTTCTGGCGTTGCTGACTGGATCATAAGTATGAAGTCTGCTAACAGCCAGCAGGTGACGGACACCGCAAATCAGGAGGAAAGGCAATAATACCCTTATCCTGTCCTATGCTTACCGCACGAACCCACATCTAGTTCCATATCTTTTCCCTCCTATGCACTTCACTTCCCTCACCCCCCATTCTGAAATGTGCTTACAGACTAACATAAAAATATATAGTAAGAGAGAGGAGTTAGCAATGGGTTTGTCTTTTCTTTTTTAAGTCAACGGGAAGTGATGCCAAAATGTTCTATTTCTCAATATTTCAATCCTGTTCTCTGCCCCCACCCCTCACACACACACACACACACACAGAGAGAGAGAGAGAGAGACAGAGAGACAGAGAGACAGAGAGAGAGATCAGAGCACTGACTTTCCTATGTGTAAGGTTCACATCTAAGTCATGACAACCGGATACAAACACTGCAGAATCTGTAACTGCGCTAGCGTTCACCTTTGCCATCGATCGCCTTTCAAACGATCAGCTGCAATGGGACAGTAACCAGCATGAACTTTATTAGTGTCTCTCTACCTCAGCCTTGAACACGGACTAAGGAATTTTTCTCTGTGGAAGAAAGGAAAAGGGACTGGTTTTTACCAACTTTTTCAGGCATCAGAGGTAATGACTTCAGAATTTTCTTCCCTATTATGCAAGAGCTCTGACAGGAAGAATGAACTGAGAT